TACATACATACATACATACATACATACATACATACATATATATATATATATATATATAGTGTGTGTGTGTGTGTGTGTGCGTGTAATATATATATCACACATATTTATATAAAAATAATTTGAGCAATAAAGAAGAAATATAATACTCGTTTTATAGAAACGCAATCATTTCAAGATATTTAATATTGTGCCGGGTCACTAGGATTTACATAGGAATAAACCTGCAGAAATTATCTGTGTTAAACAAAAAGTATGCCGACCATCCTGACGTTTGCTTATATAGAACGTGCGACCTTAGTGATAGAGTGATACTCCTATCGGGCGAAGCCGAGGAAATCAGTGAGCCGATCATTCCAATCGTGGAGCCAATGGGTAGGTCCGTGACTGGGCTGATGTTGCTTGCACGGGTTGATCTCCTTCTCCGGTGGCATGTACTCCTCGCTGCGTATGCAAAAGTAGCTCTTGATCGGACTGCGGCACATCGGGCACCGGTCCAGCTTGCCGAAGCACGAGGCACAAATACAGGTGTGTCGGCATGGTAGCAGGGCACGTGATAACGGGAAGTACTGGCAGACGACGCAGAGCTGCTCGCCCGCGGTGTTCCAAAGCGAGCCGCCCTCCTGGTCCCCATTCTGGCCGGATGCCACCAGAGCACCGCGACTGCCGGCGCCGGCGTTGTCGTTGTTATTGCACGGCTCGGCGAGCGCCAGGGCTGGCGAACCCAGACCAGCCGACGACATCGCATCGCTCTCGTCGTAGTTGCTGGAGTTGCCCGTGGCCAGGTACAATTGCTGCGGAAAAATCGCGAGCACGAGTTGTCATGGTGTCAAGTTTGTCAATGAGCGAGTTTCGAGAGAAACCGTAAACGCGTTTCTATCACTATCATTTTTGGAATATAAAGTAACTTTACCCAATACAGCCTACCTAAGCATTACGATTTTTGCTGAGTCCAATATTGATGGTCAAATTCAAAATAGGAAACATTTCTGAATATTAATTGAAAATGTTAGATATTTTCAATATTTACCATACATGAACTTGAAGATTGCACATTGAATTTATAGCCATGTAACTATCTATAAACAGCAAGTAGACTATGGCCTACTTCATACTAGACCATATCAGGTACAGTTATCTTAATTAATAATTAATCTGCGATATATACACATGTATATAAATCTTTCCGACATTTAAGAGATTCAATGCCGATGATTAATGGTAGATACTGGGATTCACCTTTCGGAGCTAATCGTTTTATCTTGCACTCACCTTTAAGCAAGACAGTTGGCCGTTTGCCTGCTTCAAATACTGCGCTAGAATCGAAGTCGGCAACGTACACACGCTGTCCTTAATATGAACGACGTTTACCAGGGCCACCTTAAACACAAATATCGCGGGAGATGGTGAATGATAATGAAAGTAAGTTTTGCTTTTCTTCTCTTTTACAAAAAAATATGTAGGGTAACTCCAGTATTTATTCCGAGCGAGAATTTATATCACAAAAGTTAGAAAAAATAAAAGAAGTGAGAGTAATTTGCACGCAATCACTCTATTATATGCCTTTATATGGCATAATAAGGTTTTATATATTAAATTAAGTTTTAGATAAATTAAGATAGATAGAGAAATTAAGTTTTCGATAAGTGTATAAGATATACCAGAGTTATCCTAGAAGAGAGAGAGTTATTTACAAGATAGTAAAAAAATTTCTCACGGTTTCGTCGGGATGAGGATCCCGATTGTCTCTTCGAGTAAGGAAAATCACCAGAGGATAGCAGAGCCGCGGCGGGGTACCGAGCTCGAGTTCCGGAGCTGGTAGAGATAATCTCAACGTTTCCTCACCGTGTGGCTGTCTACTGCAGTTTCGGTCAAGGAAAATAGCAATTGAAAAAATGTGCGAGTAAAAAAACACATGATAAGTAAAAGAAAAAACTGATTAACGAACAAAAGCGATCAATCGAACGATCTTGAAAATATAAATAAGATCGAGAAAAATATTTTAAAAATAGACCGAGAATAACCGTGAGTTTGTTGAAATTTTTTTCACATGTTTCCAGTTCAATTCGTTTAACAAACAACGCGCAATTATATCATTCTCGTTAAATCCTCATTACGCGAAGGACAAGCTAGAGAGCTACATCAGATATTCTTTAAAAAAAATGCACACGTGACCAGTCTACTAGAAATAACCCGCCGAGATAGATTATGCAAAATTATACTTCCTGTTTTTCCACGTCTCGAAACTTGTATAAGATCGCGCGATTTCACGGTTAAAATCATCTCGGAGTGATTCTCAAAGGATACGTTTGTGGCGGCGTAAGGTACTGCGCGTGGCCCTGTAGAAGGGTTCCGTTCAGGGACGCGTCCCGTAACGTGCTCCAGGGTTTCCAGAGCGCCAGGTGTAGCTCTCTTATGCAGACACCCCAGATCGCCTGCAGCGAGTACTCCACTTGGCTAGACACCTCGCACTCCACCTCTGGAACAGACGTTTATCTTCAGCGAGCTGGAATTCGAGTTCGACGTGCAACTTGATTGTAAAAATCCGTATACTTAAGTCTACCAAACGTTCTCCTTATAAAGTAATCAAATCCTATCCTATTCTATGATAATTAGACGTTCTGCTTGATTTATCAAAATGCATTCAACCATATACGTCTTGTTGGTATAATTAAACTATTTTTCTTAATATGAGACCTACAAAAGCCAGTTTTGAATAGCCTGTAGAATACAGAATGGTTCAAAATATTCACAAGACACTCTCGATGGGTTTTCTCTACCTTCCGAGAAATAGTAATCAAATAAAATTCGATTTTGATTGGATTTAAATTCGGGTCGTCCAATTCATAGAGCACACTGAGAAAAATGTCTGGTTGAAAATATATGAATCAGAAGATTCTGCTCAATCAGAATTCTGGTTGTATCAACTAGAATTTAGTAGATCTAACTAGAAAATTCCGATTTGCTCATTTTCAATCAGAATTCCTCAGATATTTTTCTTTGTGCAGATACACGACTTTCAATGTGCTGCAATCCCTACTAAATTATTGCGAATGTAAAGAGTGGTATTTAGGAGTGGCATATTGTACTTACGAAACGATACTGATCGAGAGAACTAAGTACATACAAACTCAGGAACTAAGTATTTGCGGAATTCGAAATGCATTTGCTAATATCTCGTTGCGAAAAGAAAATAAATTTTTTACAAGTCTTGAGAATTGAAAGGACAGCGATTACACTGGTAAAAATTTCTAATATTCATAAGAAATTCGAGATTATTTGACTAGAATTTAATTCATATTAGAAGTAGATACTCTGTCTGGAATATGCTATTGGATATCAAAGGAGCGCGCAATGATAATCCGATTCTCTTTAACTTAAAATAACATTATGTTATTTTTTTAACCTTCATGTGTGTCAAAATGTAAATCAATCCATTTCTGCAGTTAGTTTCAAAGTGAACATCATCCACATATTATTTAGTAAATAAACTACATTTGATACATTTCTTTGAGTTAAATTATTTAATTCTACTGTTTTAGTTAAATTGATGATACATTGAGTAGGAACAGTGGCGACTTATAAAAATAATTAAAAATAACTCAAATTGAGTATAATATAACACATTATGAATTTAACGGTACAACAAAAAGAAGAAAGAGAAAAGAAGAGGCGAGAAATGATCCGTCGACGAACTTTCATTCACCCATCGTTCAATCGTAAAACATGGAAACAGAATATTACGAATGAATTACAAGCTCGTGGAGGTTTAAATGTCAAGATCAATGTAACGACCAACGTAACGTTCTCGAGCTGTCGCTGCAATCACGGATACAATTACAGGAGGGACCTGAAGCGTTCATCAGCCATTGAGGTCATTTCCTTTATATTAACCCTTATCGTACCAATATGGGTAACTAGTGACCGAGCGATTCCTGTTCGTGCAAGTTTCTTAGAGTCTTTCGGTAATTATAAATTATACTACATTTTATTATTTTCCAAAATAAAGAGTCAATATTTATTCTAGAAAGTTGAAAGTATGTTGATGATATTTTAGAGATATTTTGAATTATTTTGAAGAGGTGAAAAAAAATGAAGAGATTCTAGTGACCCCTTGATGGTATGGATGAGGCACCAAATTGTACATGGTAAGGGTTAATTACACTTTTGTCGTTATTGTTGTCATTCATCCGTTTACTTAATCGGCAATTATCGTTTTTATGAGGGGAGGCTAAAATAAAAACGCTGCTCAGTTAGGCGCCTATTGGTACGTAATGCGGTTATTATAATAGCAGGATCGCTTTACGCGCCGTTTACGCTCGCGCAACAATTCAGCTTGGATTGTAACGATACATGGCGCAATCGAGATATACGAGGTAAAATGTGCGCGCGTTCACGAGACCTTAACGAGAGACCGGTATTACTACAACTACGAAATTTTAGCCCGGCGTTTTCTTTTCTCAGCGTCGGTCGAGACGCTCGCCGCTTAATTGCGCAAACGTTGGGATTTTGCAACGCTCCGTAATTCACCGACCTGTAAGAGAGCCGGCGGTACTTTTTTCCGCCGAACCGTTGGAGAACGCATCGTCGATCGCATCGCGGATGCGATCTTGTGAACCTCCTTTCTTACATCTCCCAATTGCCTAATAGTAAATTGCAGTCGACGTCAAATTATGTACACTCTGCATTTTCAGGAAGGTCTCTTTCACAGATGTTCATACATTACGCAGCAGAATAAATATTTATATGGATAAAAGTTTTGTCGATGCATCTCAAATTAAGTCTGATACAAATCTGAATAGTTTCACTACTGAAAAGTACTGAAAACTGTTCAGTATCAGTTCTTATACTATATATATATTTTTCAGTAGTTTTAAAAAATTCTTCTTTAAAACTGTTCAGTATCACTTTTACTACTTTTCAGTAAAACTGATACCAAACAGTTTTAAAGAACAGCTTTCAGTACTTTTCAGTATCAGTTTTATTTTTAAATAATAAAACTGAACAGTTTGAAGAACAGTTTTCAGTATATACACTGAGAAAAATGGTCTGGTTGGATTAAACAGTAATTCTGGTGGAAAATGGACGAATCAGAATTTTCTGGTTATGTCTATTAGAATTCTAGTTGTGATAACTAGAATTCTGATTAATATAATTATTCTGGTAAAAATAAGAATTCTAGTAGATTTTACTTTTCTAGTAGATTCTATAGTAGAAATATAGTATCAATCAGAATTCCGGTTATCTCAACTAGAATTCTAATAAATTTAACCAGAAATTTCTGATTCGTTCATTTTCAACCAGAAATTTTGTTCAGTGTACTTTTCAGTAATAAAACTGATATTGAAGTTTTTGTGATAACAAATTTATAGAAGTATCTAGAAAAAATTTAGCTAGATCTGGAAATAATGTTGGCTCATCCTCATCGAAATAATTACGTAAGCGTTGATGACAATGATGCAAAAATTAACATTCCAGTTATCAGTTTGAGCATCCTACATAATTATTATGATAAAAAACAAAATTATTAGCCTATTCACATATTTCTTGTATATAATGATAAAATAAGTTTAAATGGCGACGAAAGGTCACGTCACTGAATTCCAGAGAAACGCTCTTTCAACTATGCAATTCCAAGCATAAATATAAACGAGCGATAAATGGTGATTTTTAAAATTGCGCATACGAAATCGCGGACGCACACGCGTGACATTTTCGTCCGATTTACAACCGTGCTTGCACACGTAGGTGTTTCATTCTCGGTGCTCGTCGTCGCGATGAACATCTCGGTGAGGTCGAGACGAGACGACGACGTCGGCAGCGGCGACATTACGGCGCTGTTATTTCACGGCTGGTTACTAAAAATTATTGCGTAAGAAACGCGCTTTCGACTTCTCTCTCTCTCTCTCTCTCTCTCTCTCTCTCTCTCTCTCTCTCTCTCTCTCCCCCCTCTCTCTCTTACAGTCGCGGTCTCGTTCCGAGAAATATCTACTGCATAAGGGAACCAAAGGGGTTTCCAGGTCGCGTCACACTTTGCTACGACTACCGCGCTCTCGTTCATTAATCATTCCATGATCCCGCGAGAAAAAGAAAAAATAAGAGGGGGAGGAGTGAAGGAGAAAAAAAGAAAGAAATAAGCGCTAATTATTTTGCGCGTCCTGGGACTCAGTCCCTTAACACGCGAGACACATTATTGTACTGTATAAGATTATGATGTTGACACGTGGCCTAACTTTACACACTGATAGAAAAGTGATTAATTATTGTTAGGAGCGAGCTCCATTTTCATGATTATTACTACTGTAATGTTAGTAATAATAATATATTTTTAATTCTCTTAAACACGAAAAAATTATACTATAAATTATAATTTTAGATATTTATTACAAATATTAAATATATTTTATACTTACGATTAGTAAAATATTAGGTGTTAAACTTAATTCCTGCCGTTTTTCGTCTCCAAAATTGATTTGTTTCGAGGGGAAATACCTTAATCAAAGATAAGATGTAAATGGGTAAATAAATAAACATTTTTATTCAGTAAATGCAATCGTAATTATAGTGAGTGTAACTATTTTTCTAAATTCACCTACTATTTATGAGATTTCCTAACTAGAAATTTTCAAGTAGTGTGTGACTATTATTAATAGCACGATTGATTATACAATTGCATGGTTAAAACAACTACAAATATACTTGTCCCAAAAAAGTAACTATATAAATTATAGTTAAATTATGGTAACTGCAATCATCTTTTCTCTTGCAATTAGTGCAATAATAAAATAATAAATTAAAAGAAAAATTAAAATAAAATAAAATCAAAATAATAGTAAAATATGATCGTGCGAGAATGCGATGTGTGTATAGTATGTGTAAAGAACAATCTAATTGTAAGAGAAAGAGAGAGAAAGAGGAAGAGAGCGTGCGACGACACCCACTAAAACGCCGGAACCGATTGCACCGTCGTTCTCAAACGAGAGATTATCCCTTCTAAATTCGATTGAGGCAAGATGAATTGAAGTCTAGGTTGCGGTAGCTTCCCATGACTCGATTCGACTTGCCGAACGTCGCGTCTTGTCACCGGTAGCTTTCACTTTCGTTCGCTTGTCGCGAAGTACCTCACAAAATCTCGAACGCGCGCATGAGAATCCGATCCGCTCGTCCTTGTGTCCTCCATCATCAAAAGGATCATTGCCGAACCTTTTAAGGAAATTAAAAGTCCTGATTTATGGAGTATGTTCCTGCAATTTGCAATTGTAAAAGCAATTGATTGGCCAACTGTTTCGAATCGTTTCTTCCCTGCATGTATTTCTTAGGCTTGCATCTCCTACACAGCCCGAACTCGGGAGTTAATCTAATCAGTCTAATTGATTGACTTGACATCCGAGACATGTTTCTTGATCTATGTTTTATATTTCGTTCCATTCGGCGAATATGTTGCGTTTTCTAAAGTGATCAGAGACTAAACACTGTGAG